ACCCTGCCTCATTTGATGGCAAATACTCTTATAGGTTTTGTAGACAGAGGTTCATTTTATACAGTATGTTAGAGGCCTTGACGGCCCATATGTATTCATGTTTTAAAAAAGATGGTTCACTGATACAATGCTTTCTCACTTCTAATTATACATTACGAGTTGTGGCCATGTTGGCCCAGTTACCAATGATAGTACGATAAGAAAGATATATTACGTTGGTACTCGGTTGAGTAAGGCGCCGAGTGCCCGTCGTGACCCTTCAGTTTGGGTAGTGACATCGCCTTTAATCGAATATTACGGCGCGAATCTCATTTAGAATCGATTATGGATCAACAATTACCGCGATAAGAAGATTTTTACCTATTTTAGACTTATACTAGAACTGAAATTCTCCTACTATATAAAAGGAAATTTTTTCTTTAATTTGACACATTGTAGCACGCAATTAAGAGCAATATAGGTTCATTTTTGTCTGCTAGCTATTGTCAAAGGCATTATTCACTTATTTTGTTTTTCATTCGCGACTGGGCCTAAACCGAGGGTCCAATCGAGGATGAGGTCACTATTCAATCTAAGATTAGGCTTAGTTATAACATTGGGACTGGTTTGAACGTTTATTTCATATTTAATTAATTTATCTGTTATTCTAGATCATTCGTGTTGAATTAAACCACGTATTTTTAAAATCGCGTACAAATTTAATTGTTACCCAATTTTGGGGTCAACATATCCAGCAAGAAGGGTGGATTTTCTATGTCCCTTATCACTATTTGAATCGCGTTTGTTTGATCTGAGTACATCCCTGGGTACGTGCTCGTCATTGTGGTTGTTGTTACGGGGCTCGTCTCGCTGTAGCAGTGTTCCATTTAGAACTACACTTGCAACGGCTATAAATAAAAGGGCTTATATTGTTGGATACATATGAACGACGAAGAACACAAAACATTTAAGCTTGAAACACGTTCGAAACGCTTTTCTAAAAGTAATATTTGTTCCCTTTCCTCGGTTGATTGTTATTAAAACCGTGTTCAAAACTAAAAAAAAATAATAATAATAATAATAATAATAAGAGAAGCAAAGAGACGTTATTTCAATAAACAAAACAGAAAATAAAAGTTTCAAGCCCAATAGGATACTGGCAATAGAAATTATAGAATTTCAGCGAACTCAACAAACAGAGTAAATTATACTTGACATTTATGTTTTCTTTTGGAAAAAAATAATACAACAATATAGAGAAGAGGGGAGAATGAAAGGGTGAGATGGAGAGGTACAATCCAAAATGTGCCTCTTTAATTTCCTATTCACACCCCTTAAAATCCTAATATTGCTATGGGCAGAGGCGGAGAATTTAAAGTTTATAGGTTTTGAATTTGCCACCAAACTAATAACTCATTTAATTACTAGACGAAATAATATAGAAAAAAGGCTACGCGAATAATAATGTTAGTGGTTCGTGAGGCTAATTTTGATCTCGATAGGGGAATGATGTTCATTGTAGCACTATATGACCTTAAAGGTTAAGTTAATATACCATGAACTCCATCCACAATATTTTTGGATGTTGTGGCATAAGTTATCTAGCTATATTTTATTATCTATTAGCACCATTTTGGAAAACTTTGATTCCATTTACTGCTTATTAAATTTCCTTAAGTTCTTTGTCAAATATCTTAATCTATATTCTTTGAGGTGGTTGAATCGCGTTTGTTTGTTTTAATTTCATTGAGTCAGATTGTGGCTGCTTTCTTCTTCTTCCAAACTCGTCGTGTGTGGGTCTTTGTTTGGCTTGGCCTTCATTACATGCAGACGGGCCCATTAGATGAGGCCCAAAAGGTTGTGGGGGAAGTTTTGGGTCTGCCAGTCGTTTAATGGGTTCCAAGTTTCAGATACGGGTAAGGGTAATTATCAGTAGTTTAGGGGTAAATAGTAGCTGTTTAAGGGGTAGTTCAAGTAAATTGGGTAGGGGAATCTTTTGTAACTGCATTGGGAAGCTTCTAGGAAAGTGGGGGAAGAGATTGGCTTGCAAAAACTGATTTGAATTGGGGTCTGAACTGAAATAATGAAATTGGGGAAAGAGGTGAATGATAATTAACAAAGCTATTACTGTTGCCCTAAAAACCCCTCTATAAAGTCCCCATTTCCTGAATTTTTGAGGGGTATCAGACTTGTAAAGATTAGAAACGGCTGAAAACAAAAATACTGAAGGGGTTTGAATAATCAGAAGAAAATACAAAGACAAATTACAAAATTACTGTTACATTGAAGTTTTTTCTGTAATTCTTGGTGGTTTTCAAATTTTGAAGTAATTTCGGATGCCTTCTGGGATCGAAATGGTTTAAGGAAGTGGGATTAGTTGTTGTTGATCTGCTGATTTGCACTACTACACTGCTGTTGATTCCTCATCTTCTCTTGCTTTAATTTCTGTCCCCAGGTACTTCTCAGACCCCCATGAATGTATGAAATGTGAGCTTGAAGCCATGTAATCGACTGGAAGCCCAAGATGCACATTAGTTTCCTGACATTGAATATTATCTGTATTTTCTTAAAAGTTCTGTATTAATTTAGTGCATCTACGGTCCATTACGTTCATTCATGTCATTAAGATTTACTATGAATTCATTTATAGTTTCATGTTGGATGGCTTGCAAGAAGAACACCTCTTGCCGAGGTTTATTTAAATGCATTTGGTTTAAAAGCTGCTCCATGCTTAGTATAATATGTATTCCTTCATGTTGCTACTTTGCAAATTTGGCTTAAGCTATGTTTTCTCCATCCATCAACTTGTTATTTTAGTTCTTAAAGAATTGAAGTGTGTTTGACATCTGGTGGAAATTTTGGTATGTGTCTTTGGTTAAAAACAAGCTTTCTTGGTTGAATATGTGGAAGTTTCATTATAAGTTAAAGTCAAATTACATATGGAGTCAAAAACCTCTTAATTCTTCCACTGAGTGAATTTTAGCTTTACTCCTAAAAGTTATGTTGTGGTCAGTTAGTCTAGGACATTTGACCATGTTCTTTGTTTATGGATCATCTCAACCTAGATCATAATTAAATATTTATATGTGTTTAATATATGTCCTAATATAAAAATATGGTCTAAGTAAAAATTCCTAGGTTCTTCCGAATTATTGAACAATACACTAGCTCTGTCCCTAGCTATGAGAATATGCACAAATAACCATAACCTTTGTTTTAGGCCCTCAAAATTTTGAGGTCTCAAAAATTTTTAATAGTAGATATTATGATCGTATTTTCACTAAAATATTAAAAAACATGACTAATATTTTATCAACTTGAATTAACCCTTAACAATAAACATAACAATATTACTAAGTGAAGTTAAAAGTTTTATATCATATTAGAATACAATATTATAAGCAACAAGTGCGAAAAAATAAAAGTTGCTTAGTCAATATGATAAGTTCTTGAATTTATACACCGAGCAAACAGCGGAAAAATTCTTCTAGGAAAGCAAGAAGTATTTTCTGATTTTAAAGTGCATAAATTTGTGAACAAAAATGTTTTTGTGGGAGAGAAAGACAAGACTTAAAAGTTTTCCTGCAAAGTAAAACAATTTCTAGGGGAAAAAAACCCGCAACATAAGATGAAAGTATGCACCCTACAAAGTAAAAATTGCACGGGGCGCCTTATTTGGTCGCCCCCATTTAATCCATACCCTTTTTTTTAAAAAACTTTTAACTTATATCCACTTTTTAAACAACTTCAGCTCCCTTTCTCCTCCTCCTTCTCCTCCTCAAAGTTATATCCGCCTCTTCTTTCTCAAACTTCTCCTCCTCCCTTTTCTGCAAGATATCTGTTACGGCTATGTATAAGTTTGACTATAGTTAAAATCACTAATACATCTTTGTACAAAAGTGCTAGAAATCTAGGCTTCTCGTGCTGTTTTTCTAGTGTAACTTGTTTTCTTCGTCAGTGTGAACTCTTATCTGGATGAGTAAGAAGCATGAAACTGTTGAGGATGTACCATGTGGTAACATTGTTGCCTTGGTTGGTCTGGACCAGTTTATTAACAAAAAGCAACATTGACGAATGAAAAAGAAGTCAATGCCCATCCAATCATAGTAATAATATTGAAACCCCCAACAGATTTTGGATACCATATGTTTTCCCATGCTAATAGTGCTGTATATTTTCTTGTCCAGTCATTTCTTATCTTCCACGCACTCATGGATAACACTGTTGAGTTACAGCTATGCAGTTGCAGTCTTGGAACTTCAGCTTTTCGCCAGTTAAAAAAACAAAAACTTCAGCTCTAGAGCTGAAGTTCCCCAGTTAAAAAATAAAAATTTCAGCTCTAGAGCTGAAGTTCCCCAGTTACAAATAAAAAATTTCAGCTCTAGAGCTGAAGTTCGATAGTTAAAAAACAAAAACTTCAGCTCTAGAGCTAAAGCTTACAAACAAAAACTTCTCCAGTTACAAACAAAAGCTTCAGCTCTAGAGCTGAAGTTCGACAGTTACAAAACAAAAACTTCAGCTCTAGAGCTGAACTTCAGGCCCGACTACTAGAATGCTGAAGTTTTGCGCGATTGCCTTTGCTACTTCAGCCCCTTATGCTGAAGTTATGCAAAAAAGCGGGTACGCTTGCAAATTTTTTTTGCAAAGCGGGCACAAGTTAAAACGTGACACAAAAAGCGGGTGTAGATGCAAATGCCCCCTGCAACTCCTGTTTAAAAATATTTTATTTATTATTTATATACAAACAAAATTCCAACATGTTTACCACTAAGCATTGCATTATCCTAGGAAATGGTCCATTTTATCTTACTACGTGGCCTTCTCTCCAAAGATATTGCATAAGCCTGTCTTTCCCTCCCACACAATTGATTACTTTCCAAAAATCCTGCGTTGTCCGTGTTATAGTCCGTATTTATCTAAATATTCTTAGATAAAGACTTATTACACTAGTGTTTGTGTACTAAAGTAGTAAAAATAAGTACTATATATTTTAACAAAGGAAAACGAAGAGAGTAACGATCATGTGCGGGATCTTGGCTGTTTTAGGTTGTTCTGATGATTCTCAGGCCAAAAGGGCTCGGGTTCTCGAGCTCTCTCGCAGGTAAAATTAAATATCCTTTTTTTCTTTCTTCCCTGGTGCTATAATATAATCGCCCTGTTGTTCGCACGTTGCATGTAATTTCTTCGTGAGAAAGTTTGGAGCTGGAAGTGATTGTTACATTTTATAATAAAAATGGAGGCCACTATTTATAGGCATTTTGAATGCCCTACCGAGGTAAGCGCTTGCATCATAAGAATGCCGATGTAAGCGCTTACATCACAAGAATGTCGAGGTAAGCGTTTATATCATAAGAATGTCGACGTAAGCGCTTACATCACAAGAATGTCGAGGTAAGCGTTTATATCATAAGAATGTCGACGTAAGCGCTTACATCATATTTTCATTTCTTTTTTATTTTTCTTTTTTTTGTTTTCTCTACTTTCACATATAACAATAGGTTTGGCCCTATCAATCTCCCCCTCAAACCTATGTTACATCAAGAAAGAAAAAAAAGATTTGCTATTCTCTGGTGGCGCCTTCACGCTATCAGTCTTGAAGGCTAACTGAGGCAGCGCACAGCCTCAGTTTGCCAACATCGACAACTTTGGTCNGGGTTCTTTGATCCTGGTATCTTCTGTAGGGAAAGAGTTCCTTCATTTATCAACTCTCGGATATGATGATACCTCAACTGGATATGCTTCGATCTTGCATGAAACACTGGATTCTTGGCAAGATGAATTGCACTCTGGCTATAGCTGAAAAGCTCACAATTGTCATGCTCTTTACCTAGCTCTTTAAGAAAATTCTTGAGCCAAATCATCTATTTTCCAGCTTCTGAGATTGCCATGCACTATGCTTCAGTGGTAGATAGAGCAACACTTTTCTGAAGTCTGGACATCCAACTAACAGCAGTACCACCCAAGGTGAACACGTAGCCCGTGGTACTTTTTCGACTATCCAGATCGCCGCCTAAATTTGCATCAGCAAAACCTTGTAAGATAATATTGCTCTTTTTAAAACAAAGTGCCATACCTGAGGTGCCTTTGAGATATCGCAATATCCATTTTACACCTTCCCAATGCTCCTTTCCTGGATCTGACATGTATCTACTGACAACTCCAACTGCATGGGCTATGTCAGGTCTAGTGCAAACCATAACATACATTAAACTTCCTACTGCTGAAGCATACGGAACTTTGGACATGTACTTCCTTTCTTCATCTGTCTCAGGTGATTGGTCCTTTTACAGATTTAGATGGTTTCCGAGTGGAGTGCTTCTGGTCTTTGCATCATGAAGACTGAACTTGCTTAGTACCTTCTGTATGTACTTTTCTTGAGACAACTTTAAGGTTCCTTCTGACCTGTTTCTGCTACTCCTCATCCCAAGCATTTGCTTAGCTGGTCCTAAGTCTTTCATTTCAAACTCCTCCGCCAGTTGTTGCTTAACCAAATTGATCTCATTTATGCTAGATCCTGCAATTAGCATATCATCAACGTACAACAGTAAAATGATATAGGATTCATCAATATTTTTGATATAACAACAATGGTCCATCTCACATCATGTGAAACCATTTTTATGCATGAATCCATCAAATTTCTTGTACCATTGTCGGGGAGCTTGTTTCAAACCATACAAACTCTTCTTCAACTTACACACAAGGTTTTCTTTACCAGAAACTTGAAAACCTTCAGGTTGCTTCATGTAGATGTCTTCTTCAAGGTCACCATGCAAGAAAGCAGTTTTAACATCTAGCTGCTCCAAATGCAAATTTTTTGCAGCTACGATACTTAGCACCAACCTGATAGTAGTTAATTTGACTACAGGAGAGAAGATCTCGGTGTAGTCAATTCCTTCCTTCTGTTGAAAGCCTTTTACTACTAATCGTGCTTTGTATCTCTTCTTACCATCATGCTCTTCCTTGACTCTGTACACCCACTTGTTCTGCAATGCCTTCTTTCCTTTTGGTAACTCCGTAAGTATCCATGTTTTATTCTTTTGAAGAGAATTCATCTCTTCTTTCATGGCTAGCTTTCACTTATCAGAGTCTATCACCTGCATTGCTTCAACAAAATGCTCTGGTTCTCCAACATCAGTTAGAAGTAAATAGTGAAGAGAGAGAGTTAACCTATCTGGAGCATTCGTGACTCTTTTAGATCTCCTCAATGTAGGTTCATGAGTAACAAAATCCGAATTTGATTCAGGCCCTGATTCTAGATTTGGTTCTACATTTGATTTTATCTCTGGTTCCGGTTCTGGTTCTGATCCAGGTTTGGCTTCTAGTTCTTCTTCAAATTCGGCTTCTGGTTCTTCATCTTCAATTTCAGAATCAGTTGTAATCCCTCTGCCACTTCATTTTCTGAGATTTCTTCTAACTCGACTGTTTCAGACATTGTCTGTTTGTTGGTGTTGGTTGGTTCTACTTCAAGCTTGTCCTTGTACATCACATTTTCATTAAATGTGACATTCCTGTGTCTTAGGATCTTTCTATTCTGATCATCCCAAAACCGATAACCAAAATTATCATCATCATAGCCAATAAAGAAACATTTCTTTGCTTTAGGATCAAGCTTATCTCTATCATTAGAGTTTACATGCACATAAGCAACACAACCAAAAAATTTCAGATGTGAGAGAGTTACCTCCTTTCCTGTCCATACCACCTTAGGAATTTCAAAATTCAGCGGTACAGAGGGTCCCCTATTTATGAGGTAAGCTGCCGTGTTAACAGTCTCAGCCCAAAAATACTTCGACAATCCAGAATGTATTCTCATACTTCTAGCTCATTCATTCAGGGTTCTGTTCATCCTCTCAGCAACACCATTTTGTTCCGGTGTTCCAGGAACTGTCTTGATTATTCTGATCCCATTTTCCGAGCAAAATACTTTGAACTGTTGGCTGTCATACTCTCCTCCATTGTCAAACTTATTTTCAGGTAAATGGAGAGATCTACAATCACGAGCAACTTCGCAAGCAATTGCCTAATCATAAGTTCCGGACTGGAAGTGACTGTGATGTCATTGCCCACCTCGTGAGTAGTCTAGATTACTCATCTTCCAACGTTGGAAACAAGTATTTGTACGTAAAACTATTCCCTGATACATTAATCAGTATGAAGAACATAGAGAAGATTTTGTGGACATGCTGGATGGGATGTTCGCTTTTGTGTTATTGGATACTCGAGATAACAGCTTTCTTATTGCTCGTGATGCCATTGGAATTGCTTCCCTTTACATTGGTTGGGGACTTGATGGTAGTTTTCGATGCAATTTTCTCAGTTGAAGACTTTGCTATTTGAAATTACCGTTTTGAATCTTTATAGTACTTGTTAATTTGGTATTGTAATTCTATTCCTTCTCAGGGTCTGTGTGGATATCATCTGAGCTTAAGGGATTGAATGACGACTGCGAACATTTTGAAGTTTTCCCACCAGGACACTTGTATTCTAGCAAGAATGGCGGCTTTAGGAGGTAGTACAATCCTCCTTGGTTCTCTGAGGCCATTCCTTCCACTCCTTATGACCCCTTAGTTCTCAGGCGCGCCTTTGAAAATGTGAGTTATTATTGTTGTTGTTTTTATTGGAACGGATCCAACATGGTTGTTCTAAGGCTGGATATCATTGTGCAGGCTGTTATCAAAAGGTTGATGACTGATGTCCCCTTTGGTGTTCTGCTCTCTGGGGGACTTGATTCATCCTTGGTTGCTTCGATTGCTGCTCGTTACTTGGCTGGCACAAAGGCTGCCAAGCAGTGGGGAGCACAAATTCTTTCCTTTTGTGTTGGCATTGAGGTCAGTCAATCTTGAGCAGAGGTGGTATTTAGAGCACATTCTATAGTTCAATTCAACTGAACTTATTACCTTTGCCCTAAACTATGTATAAAAAGTGTGCATATAATAGGATCACACTCAATTTGAACCCGTTGTTTCTAGATCCTGAATTCACATTTGATCCTTGGACTTCTGTGATTAAAAGAAAAGAAAGATAAATTCTATTGCTTGATCTTCTCTTTAACTCTTGATACCAAGTTGCCTGCTTTCATTGAACAGGGCTCACCGGATCTCAGTGCTGCAAGAGAAGTTGCTGACTTCTTGGGAACTGTTCACCACGAGTTTAACTTCACTATTCAGGTTTTGACGGAACAACTTTATTTTTTACGTGATCTATTATCCTTTGTGCTTTTGTTTTGTTTACCTGATGGCAAACAATATATTCCACATTTGCAGGATGGAATTGATGCAATTGAAGATGTTATTTACCATATAGAGACATACTATGTAACAAAGATCAGAGCAAGCACTCCTATGTTCCTTATGTCGCGTAAGATTAAGTCATTAGGAGTGAAGATGGTCATATCTGGGGAAGGCTCTGATGAATTGTTTGGTGGCTACTTGTACTTTCACAAGGCTCCCAACAAGGAAGAATTCCACAAAGAGACATGTCGCAAGGTAAGAAAGGGCTTCCTTAGTTTAAACCTTATCTGTAATGCAAGAAGTTGAGAAAATTCTGATCCTTTTACGTGTATTTCTATGCAGATAAAAGCGCTTCACCAATATGACTGTTTAAGAGAAAATAAGTCAACATCTGCATGGGGCGTAGAAGCTAGCGACCCATTTCTAGATAAAGAGTTCATCAATGTTGCCATGAGTATTGATCCAGAGTGGAAGTTGGTAAGAAATTGAGCTCTAATTGTTGATGGATATATAACTGGAGCCACAATCTCTAAGACTTAGATTTTATCCATTTCAGATTAAACCTGAGCAAGGGAGGATTGAGAAGTGGGCTCTTAGGAGGGCCTTCGATGACGAGGAGCATCCCCACCTCCCAAAGGTTCTAGATCACAATTTTCCAACTGATTTGGAAGGTTCTATCGTTAACTAAAACTAACATTTTCATGTTACATGTCCTGCAGCATATCCTATATAGGCAGAAAGAGCAATTCAGTCATGGTGTAGACTATAGTTGGATAGATGGACTCAAAACACATGCAGAACAACATGTGTGTTTTCAGTAGTTAATCCATAAATGTTACTGCTTTATCTTCTAGTGCTTGTTTGATTTAATAAGCTGACTGGGGAAACTAATTTTTTCCTTTAATAGGTGACCGATAGGATGATGCTTTATGCTTCACACATCTTCCCTCATAACACCGTGGTTACAAAGGAAGCATACTACTATAGGATGATTTTCGACCGCTTCTTCCCACAGGTACTTCTTTCAGATAATAGTGAAGTAAAAGTCACAAACTGCTTAAATCTGAGAACTTTGTCTAACCATGCCCCTCTAACATTTTATTTTCTGCAGAATTCGGCTAGGCTAACCGTTCCTGGAGGAGCAAGTGTAGCGTGTAGCACCGCTAAAGCTGTTGAGTGGGATTCTTCTTGGTCAAAGAACCTTGATCCTTCAGGGCTGCTATTGGTGTGCATAACTCGGCTTATGAGGATAAATTACCTCCTTTAGCTAATGGGAAATTGGCCACAAAGATCACTGGGCAATGTGCCAGCTATGGTTGGAGTTGGTGCTGCCCCTAAGCTCACAATTAGGAGCTAGCAACAGTGTTGTCCACAACATGTTGCTCATGTTTGAGCTTAGTATTTTTTTTTACTATTAATAAGAATATTAGTCCACTATTATTGCTATTAGGAGAAGGCAGCAAGCATGTCTTTTTAGTTGTTCTGCTGCATCAAAGAACATTAGGTTATGTAAATATAGAATAAAGACCTT